CTTCTACCGAACTTGAAAACGACAGGTAAATCAGAACAGCACTTCCATTTGAGAGTGTCCTTACAATATGTTGAAAAAGTATAGACTGATCAATCATGGATGAATAAAATATTTCGCTACGCTCACTCGTGAGAGATCTTTTCAAYACTCGAAGATTAAATCCGTATCTCCGAGCGCCCACGTAATRTCCTCCATTTATCAGCCTGTGCTTTTCACACTGGTGAAAACCGATGTATCAACTTAAACATCTGTTATGTTATAAATAATACAAGTCAGAGGCAAATTAACGTTTAATGATAAATTCAGACTGCAAATCGAAGTACTGGCTTGAGTTATCTTGAGTGTGTGAATAATTAAAAGGAAAACTTACCTTTGCTGCATTCTCCGTCATGRTCAACTGTTATCATCTTACGAGAAGCACAAGCTTGCGCTTTCATCGAACACAGGTTACCGTACGTTACTCCGTCCGATCCACAGACTGGCGTGTAGTCCAGTGTACAAACGGTTGGACATTCACAAGTTGTGTTGCCGTTCATGTCGTCTTTACACATACCATAGAAAGGACACGTGACGTTGTCGCAAGGATCTACAAACAAACAACAAATTGATATCAGGGTAGGGTGTGATATAATATTGACTATAGAATGATATCAGGGTAGGGTGTGATATAATATTGACTATAGAATGATATCAGGGTGTGAATTCTCCAACACTCGATTTAATAAAACGGAAAACGAAATCCAGCATCGACGGCTTTGTCACGTTAATGATGATAAGAGCGCAAAGTTTCAAAGAGAAACTAAATGGTTTTCCTGCATAGAGAGAGGATTTTAAAATAAACTAATTAAATAAGACATTTAAGCTCTATTTAGTACTACATGTGCTGCAATGGATTGAAAATTTTTGTAATCTATTCTTCGTAGATAGTGAAAATACTGACCTATTTCTTGGCAATCTAATAGTGGCTGCGAAGTTCGAGTGCCATTCAATTCGGTGCCGTCCATGACAGTCACACACCAACATTCGCCTACTGCATCGTGGCATTGCTTCTTTGTGTAGTACCCATTCTTCTCGCAGGTTGGGACATACACACCAACAGGAGGAAGCTCATCAGCCAATTGATCGCGAGCCTTTTGTCTTTCGAC